AATGTACATTTAAAGCCCTCCTTCAGCTTTTCCAGGCCATTTCTTCCCCAAATTTCTTGTAAGGCCCTTTGGTACTCTACTTATCAGGATTAACTCCAAACTACATATATATGTACCACATGTACCATTTCTTCAGAATTTGGTAAAAATTCATATGCTTTAAGAATATTTTCCTGCCCTTGCCAGTTTGGCTCAATGATTTGAGCGTCGGCCCGCAGACCAAGGAGTCGCAGTTTTGATTCTGGTCAAGTGCACATGACTGGGTTGTGTGCTCAATCCCCAGTAAAAGGCATGTAGGAGGCCACCAATTGATGTTTCTCACATTAATGTTTCTCTTTCTCCCTTCCTCTATGTGTAAAAAATCAGTAAAAATATATATTAAAAAAAAATTTTTTTTCCCTAAGTTCACCCCATTCTGATTGCTGGTCCCTGAAAATTTCCTGATTTATGTATTATGTAATACTTATTCATATACTTTAATTTTTTTCCCCATACTACACTTACTTATAAAAATGCTGAGGAATCCTTTTCCCTGCTGAAATTAATCACTTACTTGGTACCTGTGATGGTGAATTTTATATGTCAGCATGGCTAAGCCACGGTACCATATATATGGTCAAACATCAGTTAAATTTTGTTGTGAAAGTATTTTTAAGATGAAATTAACATTTAAATCAGCAGACTTTGTGTAAAGCAGATTATCCTCCATAATGTGAGTGGGCCTTATCCAATCAGTTGACGTCCCTCAGTGAAGAGGTAATATTGCTTATAGATTACCTTTGGATTTGAGTTTCAACATCAACCCCTGCCTGAGTCTCCAGCCTGCAGGCCTATTCTACAGATTTCATACTTTCCAGCCCCCACAATTGATTTTTTAAAATTTATGAGCAAATTCTTTAAACTCAATCAATCTTTTGTGTGTGTGTGTGTGTGTGTGTGTGTGTGTGTGTCCTATTGGTTCTGTTTCTCTGAAGAACCCTGAATATATAAGTACCCTCAAGTTTAAAATCTTGTCTGGTGACTATAGGGGACCCAAAGATAGGTCTCCTATGTCCTTCAATCAATTCATTCATTTAAAAAATATATGTGTCACCTGGCTAGTTTTGCTCAGTGGTTGGGGCGTCGGTCCGTGGACTGAAGGGTCAAGGCTTCGATTTCTGGTCAAGGGTACATTTCTGGGTTGCAGGTTCGTTCCCCAGCCCTGACTGAGGTGTGTGCTGGGAGTGAGGCAACTGGTCAATGTGTCTCTCTTAAATTAATGTTTTTCTCTCTCTCCCCCATTCCTCCCTCCCTCCCTCCAACTCTCTCTGAAAAAAAAAAAAAAATCAATGCAAAAAAATATACTTGGGTGAGGATTAACAACAAAAATAAATAAAAAAAAATATATGTGTCTGCTGTGTGCTATATTCTGAAGATTCAAAAGTGATCTAGACCCCTCTCCTTAAAAAATCAGGAGTGGGGGAAGTTTAGATGAATAAAGGAACAATGAACATAATGTGATAAATATCATAAGGTTATGAGTTCAAGATACTTATTCACAGGATCACAGGGGAAGGACACACAACTGAGGTTCCTACATCAATAGAATCATGCTGCTTGTAATTAAAATATTGCTCATCATATATTCACCCTTGGAAACCAATTACATACTTTAAACATATAAAGTAAAAAATACTTTAGAAGCAGAGAATGTAAAAACAAACACAACATAAATACAACATCGTTAATATTCCTTTGGAGTGATTTTTTCACATGAGCCTAACTGGTGAAGGAATCTTAAAATAGTAATGTTGAAGAATCTTGTTCCAATTTGAAAAGCCAAACTGATTAACTGAGATCAGAAAGATACACACAAGATCTCACAGATCATAAATCTCGAGAATACCATGTAAAATGAATACTGAAAAATAGGATTAGCCTTTAGTTCTTTGAAATGTAATAGCACATTAAATCATAAAATCCTTATTTTGAAGGTATCTTAAGTATATAGAAGTTATTAAAATTTAAGTTAATTTTAGAATGCTTATAGTTAACTTACTGTAGCTTTCACACTTGCAACTAAGCTATCTTATATTACCAAGTAACATGAAAATTCAAGATCTGTGTTCATGATGTGAAATGACCACTAAATTTAAATATTAAAGAAATCATTAATGTAAAAATAATAGTTAAATCTCAATCTGATAGTAAAAAATGATAAAACAAAAACCTTTTTTGCTTTGGCTCTGTATTTAATTTCCAATAGTCTGAGAATTTATAGTATTTCATAACTCTGTCAGACCAGTGTCCTAAGGACTATTATGCAAAAACTGCTGTCAGTACTACTTTTGATATTTCATCCTTTTAGTTAGTGATTAGAAAGAAAAACATTTTCCAATATTAATTAAACTGCTAATATTATTAAATGAACACAATCTCATAATTTTCCACAAATATTCTTTATCAATTAGTAAAACTCATATCCCCAGAAGCACACAATAAATATTGGTTAAATGAATGAATGAAAAGGTCATAGGCCTGAGATTCCTGCAGTCTTAAATCTCATGACCTTAATCCTAAACTCTGTTTTAACATGGACACTGCCAAAGGTATAATTTTTTCATGAAGACTAAGAGATTTTTCCTTTGGTACTAAATGGGCCTCCATATATACTTCCTCTAAGACATCATATAACTATCATCACATTAACATTTCATGAAATAATTAGAACAAATTATTAGAGATCTCTATTGTGTCCACAAAAGCTTTGTATTCAAATACAAATACCCTGCTGCCAAATTGAAAGCTCAACAATCTCTGTGCAGAGGCTAGAAGGCTAAAAAAGACCTTATGAAATCAATCAGTAAACCACAGGGGCCCTCTGCTAATTTAAAAAGAATTAACTGCAATATCCTTGGGTAAGTCACTTAACTTCTGGGAGTTTCAATTTCCACACTTGTAAAAAATGGAGGTTAGCCACTCCAAGATTCTATGATGGAGTGATTATACAAAGCAAAGCAAATTTACCTTCAATATTCCTTTGGAAGAAGGTATGATGCTTCAGAAGGCCTATAAAAATAGTTTTTAACTTTGAGTGAGGGACACCTTTGAGACTCCAATAAAAGCTATAGACACTTCATCTCAAAAGAATTCCCACATAGACAAAACTTTGTACATAATATCAGGAGAGTTTAATGACCTTCTAAGGTGGTCCATGGAACTCATGTTAGAAACTTCTATAAATATAAATATAAGCCAATAAATTGGAGATATTAAGTTTGAAAATAGCTCAGCTGGTGTGGCCCAGTGGTTGAGTGTCAACCTATGCACTAAGAGGTCGCCTGTTTGATTCCCAGTCAGGGCACATACCCGATCCCCAATGGGGGGCATGCAGGAGGCAGCCAATCAATGTTCTTTCTCATCAATGTTTCTATCCCTTTCTCCCTTTCCCTTCCTCTCTCTCTAAAATCAATACAGAAAAAAAATATTTTTTTAAGTTTGAAAACAAAGCAGCATTTTATACCTAAATCTTTTGATTTTTTAACAAATTCAGTTTACTTTAAATTTCAAACAATAGTAAAGAGAAATCAATTATACTTATGACTATCAAAGAGAAACATGGTTTTGAAAAGCTGAAAACTACCAGCTTTAGATAATTAAACTAATGCTAGTAAATCAATTTCCAGATAAGTGATACCCAATTATGGTTATATGCTGATCTCAATTCTGATGAACCAAATGTAATGAAAATGTTTTTTTATAATTCTAAATTTAAGTAATATGTGTTCCATTTCATTCTACAATCCATCTGGAAGTAGACCTTCAATAGAAATACAAAACTAAATATATGAAATACTGAATTACTAAAATGGTTTATATTTCTGAAAGATTAAATAGCAATCATGTATTTTATTAATTGAAAACAGTCTCATCACATCCTAATTTATAATTATGATTGGTTAAGTCTGTTGAGCTACAACATGCATTTGTTTATCACTTACATTACTAAGAACAAACACTTAAAACTTTACCAAAAAAAAAATTAACTTTAAAAAACTTTTTTCCAATGTAAAAGTAAAGAAAGTAGAGGGACTTGATTTGGGAAAGAAGAAACAATCACACAATTCTGTAGAGAATAATTAAGCATAGGCAAAAATCCTGGTATTAAGGTTTTATAAATCATCTTCGGGGTAAGCTCTGAGTGTAGCTTAAATGTAGACCTTTTGTGCAAGCTTCTCCTAGGATTTCTCTTGTCTAAAATGGGCCCCCGGGGAAATGGCAAGAAGAAATTCTATGATTATCTTCTGATGCAATAAAGGGAGAGGTCTTTCTAATACTAAATTTAAGGAAAATAATGACTCTGCCCTGACTGTGATGGCAATATCCCTATCATGAATATAAAAGCAAAATGGCTATAATTTCTGGTGTATTTATTTTGTCTTTTTATTTAAGCAACATCTACTTTTCCTTAAGGAACTTTTTTCGTTAAGAAATCATACATTAAGCCTTTTTATTATGAATTATAAATTAGTTTGTTCAGTTCACAACAGAGAAACAATTAAACACATAAATATAACCTACTTATAGCAATGTGGATTCTGGATTCTTCAATGTTCCCCTTACAAATTACTTAGGGACTGTGAATATACCATCATGTTTACTTGAATAATTACACATTCACCAGGAAATAGAGCAAATATCTGGATCTTAGTCTACAGTCATCCTTACAAGCCTAATTTATCTTCTGAATTCTTACTTCTGTTTATCAAAGAATGGTGCACCTACTGAAAGTTGCAAAGATATCAGTAGCAGAGTTAAATCAGAATCTAGATTTAATGCTTTTCTCCTCTTCAGCTGCTTCTTTCATTTTCTAAGAAGTCCTACTTAGAGCTAAAGATATATTGGGTGAAGCCTTATAAGGTAGACTTCATATTTTAATGCTTCTATGTAAGACAGCATGAAATTAGACAAAAAACAACAACACAAAACAAAGGGTTTCACTCCCAGAATTTGCCACTAACCTGCTTTTGTAACATCAAGCACATGACAACTTCTTAGGGACTCACTCAGTTTTTGCCATCTGTAAAATAAAGATGTTGGAGCTAACTTCCAATCAAAATACTTATGTAAGTCTACATTTATGTGAGTATATGGATGAGCAACAGAATTAGAGCACGTCTATGTGAGAAGTATGTATATATGTAGAAATAGAAAATAGTAAAGAAATATGCGAACAAAAATACAATGTTTACATTTGAAGTTTCCTTTCACAGTTTAGGTTTGGACTTATGATTTAAAAGGGCTCAGTAAGGCCAGCACTTTCATGACTCTGCCCTAAATCCCCAGACTCTTCTTTCCTCCTGACACTTTTCTGATGTCCACAAGGAAGATAACCTAAGAGTATGCTTGCTTACCTCCTAATATAATCATTCCCATATCTGGTCTAAGATGAACTAATCTGGTCCATCTAGATCAGGGGCTAGTAAACTTTTTGCAAAGATCCAGATAGTAAATATTTTAGGTTTTGCAGTCTATATGGTTTCTGTAGCAACTATTCAACTCTGCCTTTGGAGTACAAAAACAGCCACAGACTACACATAAACTAATGAGCATGGCAGCTGCATTCTAACAAAACTTTATTTACAAAAAACAGACTGTAGGCAAGTCTAGACCACACCAAAAGACAAAAAGGTGGTATAAATCACCTATAAGCTAAGGTGGCAGAGTTTCAGAGCAGAAAATCATTACAAAGAAAATTAAGTACTGGAATTCTTAGCCACAGATATCAGACAAGAAGAAAAAATAAAAGGCACCCCAAATTGGAAAGGAGGATGTGAAACTGTCACTATTCGCAGACTACATGATATTGTACACAGAAAACTCTATAGATTCCACCAAAATACTTCTAGATTTAATCAATGAATTTGGCAAAATAGCAGGATACAAAATTAACATCCAGAAACTGATGGCATTCTTATACACCAATAATGAAGACTCAGAAAGGGAAACTAAAAAAATAATTCCATTTACCATTGCAACAAAAAAATTAAGATACCTAGGAATAAACTTAACCAAGGATGTAAAAGACCTATTCTCAGAAAACTACAGGACATTTGAAAAAGACATAGAGGAAGATATAAAAAAGTGGAAGCATATACCATATTCATGAATTGGAAGAATCACCATCATTAAAATGTCCATACTACCCAAAGCAATCTACAAATTCAATGCAATCCCTTTTCAAATACCAATGACATACTTCACAGATCTAGAACAAATACTCCAAAAGTTTACATGAAACCAAAAAAGACCCTGAAGAGCCACAGCAACCTTGAAAAAGAACAGATTTGGAGGGATCACAATTCCAGATATGAAGTTATCATAATCAAAACAGCCTGGTACTGGCACAAGGATAGGCATTTAGATCAATGGAACAGAAAAGAGAACCCAAGACAGTATATGCAATTAATATTCGACAAAGGAGGCAAGAACATACAATGGAGAAAAGATAAAGAGTATTGGGAAAATTGGACAGGTACATGCAAAAAAATGAAACTAGACTACCAACTTATACCATACACAAGAATAAACTCAAGGATAAAAGACTTAAATGTAACTTGTGAAACCATAAAATGATAGAAGAAAGTGTAGGCAGAAAAACCTCAGACATCATATGTAGCAAATTTTCACTGATACATTACCAAGGGCAAGAGAAACAAAGGAAAAATTAATAAATGGGACTACATCAAACTAAAAAGCTTCTGCATGGCAAAATAAACTACCATCAAAATGAAAAGGGAGCACATTCCTTGGGAGAACATATTTGCCAATAATACACTGGATAAGGGGTTAATATCCAAAAGTACTCATACAGCTCAACAAAAGGAAGACAAACAAACCAATTAAAAAATGGGCAGAGGACCTGAATAGACACTTCTCCAAACAGGACATACAAATGGCTGAGAGACGTGTGAAAAAAATGCTCAGCATCACTAATCATCAGAGAAATGCAAATTAAAATGACTATGAGGTATCACCTCACAACTGTCAGAATGACAGCCATCAACAAATCCTCAAACAAGTGTTGGCAAGGGTGTGGAGAAAAGGGTCCTCTAGAACACTGCTGGTGGGAACACAGGCTGGTGTAGTCAGTATGGAAAACAATATGGTATTTTCTCAAAAAATTAAAAATGGAACTTCCATTTCACCAAGTGATCCCACTTCTCAGAATATATCCTAAGAAGCCTGAAATACCAATCAGAAAGAATATATGCACCCCTATATTCATAGCAGTGCTATTTACAATAGCTAAGATCTAGAAACAGCCCAAGTGCCCATCAGTAGATGAGTGAATAAAGCTGTGGTACATTTACATAATGGAATACTATGCAGCTGTAAGAAAGAAAGATCTCTTTGTTTCTTTGAGACGATATGGAGGGACCTGGAGAGTATTATGCTGAGCGAAATAAGCCAGTCAGAGAAAGAGATAAGTACCACATGATCTCACTTATTTATGGAATATAATAAACAAAATAAGCTGACGATCAAAACAGATCCAGAGACATGGAAGTAGGGAACAGACTGACAAACCTCAGAGGGAAGGGAGGTGGGGGGATGGAAAGAGGTAAACCAAAGAATTTATATGCACATATGCATGACCAATGGACACAGATAACAGTGTGGGAAAGGAAGGAGTAGGGTGGGAGCAGGGAAGAGGTGGTCAATTGGGGGAAAAAGGAGGAATATCTGTAATACTTTCAACAATAAAGATTTTTTTTTAAATTGTAAGTCATTCAAAATTTCTCAGAGTCCTTTCAGCCTAGTATGAGAGTGTAATACAATAGAAAATACCAATGCTAGTATTAAATGTATATTAGATGTTTAATAAATATAGATTTCCTTTCCCATTTCAACAGTGGCATCCTTAAAACAGTATTTGCCAAGAGCTGGCCTTTGTTTCTTCTTGATCCTGGCAAATATGCTTCTGGTAGCATTATATCAAGGTTTTAGTCCTCTTATATTCATCTTCCCCCCTTAATCCAAAGCTGCAACTTCACAACCTTTTCCATCTGGGCCTCAAATATCAGTATTACTATCACTCAGTATTGGCCCAGGGAAGGTGGTAAGGAAACAGAGAAAAGAAAGAGGATAGAGGGTAGGTTCAGGTGGAGGACAGGTGAGTGGTAGCATTATTCCCTTTTCCTGATTCTATAAAAGAGCCAGGTGCTAACTTACTGTTAATTTAAATGAAAATGTTGTCTACTCTAGTGGGAACAAAGAACACTTCATGCAAAGTGCTCCCTAATGAAAGAACTCAATTCTAACAGGAAAGAAAAACAACAACAACAATCACAATCACAGTAAGCTTTATTCTTATGCTTTTATCTAGATCACTCTGCCTCCAGCTGTGAAACTGACTGATGTTTTTAAAGCTCCAAGGAGACTTTACAAGTAACCATGGTTACTGCAACAAAACAGTACAAGAAAAGTAGGAGGAGACAGCAAGTTGAGGAGAAAAACAGGTTTTTTATTTTTTATTTTCATCAAATGAAGCAACAGTAACAAGAGGCTGGACAAGGGCCTCAAGATTATTACTTCTCTCCAGAGCCACGGAGGTGCTTGATCTTTCAGCCCCACAAGTCTAGTACCTCAATGGACCATTTTACCTTATCCAAGAGAGATTCCCCAAAATCTAGTTTAGTCATTTACAACAAACAATATCTATAAATTCAACTAATATTCTTGCCAGGAAGTCAGTGAATTTGCTTTCCAGCAGAACAGCTTACTTGGAAAAAACAAAATAAGAGCACAAGGTTGCTTAGAAGTATATGAATCCAAGCCTAAGAAGGTACCTATGGTTTTAAGATAAAGCTACCCAAGTAATTCTTCTCAACTTTTGTAGTCAAAAAAGGTTTTCATCAAAAATCCTATTTTCATACCTCTTAGCAACATTCTGTTATTAACCAATAGATCATATACAGTGCCTATCATGTTTCAGGCACTGTATAAGATGCTTGGTATTTCACAATAAAGAAAACAGACAAAACTCATGCCTTTATGGAGCTTATAATCTAATGGAGAAGAGAGACATTAAATACACAATTGGAAATTGTGTTAATGTGCTATGAAGGAAAAACACTAAAGGTATTTACTGGGATATCAAGAAAAGCTCCACTGATATATAAAGGTGATATCATTGTAATTAGCTAGTTATTAATAATAGGAAAGAGGCAAAGGGAGGCCAGGCATTATAGGCATGTCATTTGGGTAGATACCAGGAAGCTGCAATTTCATACTCCCGAGGGAACACCCGTCTATTCCCTGCAAAACACAGCAGCAAGAAATTCAACAAAGGAAAGATAGATGCATGCCCAGTAAAGTTGGGGGGACTACGGAAGGTACTTGCCTGTCAATCAAACTTGGGGACAGAGATGGTTAGCCAGAATAAACATAGCCACTGCAAGTATAGAAGAATTTGGGAATATATACTCTCCTAAACAAAGGAACTCTCTCACTTGTTGCTCTCCTGTTGCCCTTATTGCTCGTGTGCTCTTGGCTTCCTTGCATTTGCCTGTATTTCCTCCATAGCCATGTGGCCCTGTGGACCCCACATACAATGGACTGACTGATAGACTACAGCAGGAAACACAAGCTAAACTAGCCTTATGCTGGACTGGGCTGTGTTTTAATATGGAGCAGAGATTCTGGGCAGTGGTTTTAATCCTAGCTCTGCTAAAGACATGGCTGGACTTTTTCCATGGCGGGACACAGAGAAATGAGATCTTGGAAACCCAGTGGTTTAATTCCACGCAAGTAAAGATTGCTCATCTTCCTGTGCAGGTCTCAGGAAATTCCCATCCTTGCAACCACACAAGAAACCCACTTCCACCAGAAATAGGTGGGGACATAGAAGGCACCCTACTGATAACACAAATGCCACTACTAGTTATTAAGTTTTATTCAAGAGTTCTAAATTCCTTGTTCCATCTCTACAATTAACTGACTTTGTGCTTAAATAAACCCATTTCACGTCTTGGTCATTTCATAAAATGGAACAGAATTAGATGATAGCAAGGTCTT